CATCTTGGACGTTCGTGGGTCTCAGACCACAGCTGCCCCCCAGGTGGGTGGGGCAGTGAGGGCAGTGGAGGTGGGCTGGATCCGGACTGCTTGGGTGACAGGCCCTGCGAGCCCCTGCCTGCCTTATCCTCTGCTGGGGACCCCAGGCAGCCTTGCTGGACGAGGAGAGGGTTAAGTGACTGAACTCGGAATGGTAGGAGCATCTAGGGCGGCCTTCGCCTTGAGGAAGGCCTGCTGCCATCTGTCTATCCCCTCTTCGCATGGCAGAAACCTGAATGGACATCATCCAGGGGGAGTGGCGGAGGGTTTTCCAGGCCCTGTGGGCAGGTCACAGGCCTCTGGGAAGTGAGGTCACTCTGAAGAGTCCATCTCTCCCACTGCTCTGGGCCCTGCCTGCTCGCTGGCCGCCTGGGGCTGGCCGCCCTTGAGAAAGGCCCCCAACCTGAAGAGGGCACTCGCTGGCTGGCGGGCTGTCCTGGGAAAGGTCTCCTCTGGATGTTTCCTTACATGACTTGCCTCTTCCTGCTCCCCGCCAAGTTTCAATAAAAGCTAGAACATCACCTTCTCGCATTGATGGAGCTCCTGGGTATTTACAGGCGTTTTCACGCTGGTGGTACAATTTAATCCTCTCAAAGGCTCTCCCTCCTCCTTTCCCTCCCGGAGCTCTGTGTCAGGCAGTGGGATACAACATCGAGCAAGAGGGACCCCTCTGACCTCATGGGGTAAAGTCTGGGGGCATAGGCATCATTATCCCATTTTACGTGGGACAAAACAGCCTGGGAGGGGTGAAGTGACCAGCCCAGGGGCAGAACCAGGGTGTCTGATGCCACCACCTTCAGTGTCCAGCCGACTCCAGCGATGTCTCTGGGCATCCCCAGGGGCGGAGTGGCCTCCAGCTTCCCAGGATTCGAGGTGATGTATTTCCAAGAACCAGGTAGGGGTATCTCCAGGGAAACCACCAGCAGAGGAAGGCTTGTTAGTGCTGGGCGAGGGGAAGGCGGGGCAGGTGGAGGCTTGTGTGGGTTAGCTCCTGGGGGTCGTGGGGTCTCTGATATAAGTGTCTCTTTCAAAAAGCCGCCCCTTGCTGTGGCTCACAGAAACTAACAGACGCCTTCTCTCCATGCTGATGGGGCCTTATCCCGTCTTGTAAATATTTGATTAGATTTTTGAAAAATGGATCCTGTGTTTGGAAGGCAGTGCCAGAGACGTGTTGCTCCTTTCCCTGTAGGCTGACGGGGCTGTGGGCTCCTGGGAGGACCGCTGGGCTTGGCTGTGTGAGCAGCTGCAGGGCTGCTACAGGCTTCCCTGCAGCAAACCCCCCCACCCCGGCTCAGCCAAAGCCGGGCTTTGAGTATGCCCAGGGTCCGAGGGCTTTGGAAACTGCAGAGCCATGAGGTCAGCACGTCAGGGTGTGAGTGGCCTCGGCTGGCATCTAGAGCAGGGCTCTTGACCATTTCTGACCAGGAACTGTGGCAGGAAAAGCAGTTCACATTGTGACTCAGTACACCCGTGTGTGGGTATCTGTTTAAATGTAAATATATATATTTTATAAATATATATCCCTCCCCTGCTATGATGTACTCTGATGTTTTCTGTTCTTTTTTTTTCTTTTTCTTTTATTTTTTTTTTAAATGCTGTTGCAGCCATGAAAATGCAGTTTGAAAAACCCTGCCCTAGGCCAAAGGTTTTTCATCCTGGCTCCATGGGTGGGTTTCATGATAGTGATGGTGATAGTGATGGTGATGATGTGGGGATGATGCTGGTGATGGTGGTGGTGGTGATGGTGATGGTGGTGGTGATGGGGATGATGGTGATGGTGGTGGTGATGGTGATGGGGTGATGATGATGATGGTGGTGGTGATGATGGTGGTGATGGTGGTGATAATGATAGTGGTGATGGTGATGATGGTGGTGGTGATGGTGATGGTGTTGATGGTGATGGAGATGGAGATGATGATGGCAGCTGCAATGCATTGAACATCCCCCACAAGTACAAGGCAGGAGCCCAGTCTTCCTCAAGGCCAAGACTTAGGCTGGTAGGGGCTTAAGGAGACGGTGGCCTGGCACATTCTGCCTGCTGTTATTAAGATTTTCTGGGCAGCACCTGGAAGCTCTCTTTCGAATGTGGGGGATCATTTTCAGCTTTGAAGTTTTGGCTGCAATCCCAAGGCAAGAGGAGGAGAAATCCTGTTTGACATCCTGTTAACGAATTCATTCATTCATTCAGCCTCTCTCACTCACCACCGTTCATTAAACAAACGTTTATCTGCCCCTCCCCTGGGCTGGTGCTGGGCGTTGAAGGTGAGAAGGAAGATTGGAGCAGATGGAGCTTTGAAGGATAAACGTGGCGTGAGGGCCGAGTGGGCAGGAGGAGAGAACGGAAGGAGTATTCTGGGCAGGAGTCACGGGTGAGCAAGGCTGGCAATGGGGGGGATCCTGCACATGTCTGAAATAGCAAAAGGACCTTGATCTTGAGTGACCAGTGTGGTCATCCCTCCTCCTTCTCCGCAGCCCATGTTCCAGGAGACAGCACTGTAGGCTCGAAGGCTGGGGAGAGAGTGTCAGATCTGAGTTCGAAAATGACTTCTCCACTGATTCACTGTGTGACCCGGGGTACCTCCCTCCCCCTTGCTGAACCTCAGTCTTATCCAGAACCTGCTATAGTGGGACTAAATCGGGTTTTTCAAATGGTGTTCTGTGGAACACCCAGGGTTCCAAAGAGGTGCATTGGATGGCTACCAACAGGGTAGAGCCATTGGGTCAACATGCAGGGATGTCAGCCTCCCCATGGAAGGGTGCATGGGCCATAAGAGAGATTTTAATGGCACGTGAGAGGCTTTGAAGGTGAAAGCCCAGCCCCACCACTGATTTGTCTAGTATGTGCCTGCAGGCAAGTGGTAGTGAGGTGCCCCGCCTGGAAGTCAGTGCACCTGGGCCCAAATCTCTGAGCCAGCTCACCTCTCTAAGCCTCTGCTTCCTCATCTATAAAATGGGAATAATCCTAGTCCTTAATTCACAGGGTTCTTGTAACAGTTAGATAAACCCATACCTATAATGTACTTAGAAGGTGCCTGGCAAAAAAGGAGATGAGCCAGAAATGCTGGTGACAGTTTTTATGTTCCACTTCCTGGTCCTCAGTCTCTTCATCCATCACACGGAAAGAAAGAGACCTGTCTGCCCAGCCTTGCTGTAGGTGAAGGTCCCTGGTGGTGGGTGGGAGGTGATGATGATGGTGATTGTATCCATTTCCCAGGGCTGCGTAACTAATTACCGCAAACCGTGTGGCTTAAAACAACAGGAATTTATCCTCAGTTCTGGAGGCTGGAAGTCTGAAATCAAGGTGTCACCAAGGGTGGTTCTTTCTGAGGGATCTGAGGGAGAATCTGTTCCATGCCTCTCTCCCAGCGTCTGATGGTTGCTGGCGATCCTTGGCATTCCATGGCTTGTAGGCACCTCACTCCAGTCTCTATGTCCCTTGTCACGTGACCTTTTTCTCTCTGTCTGTGTCTCTGTGTTTTTACATGGCACTCTTATAAGGACACCAGTCATTGGATTGGGGCCCACCGTAATCTGGTGTGACCTCATCTTAACTTGATTACATCTGCAAAAATCCTATTTCTAAATAAGGTCACATTCACAGATACTGGTGGTTAATACTTCAACTTATATTTAGGGGGACACAATTTGACCCACAACAGTGATGATACTGATGATGGTAATGGTAGTGATGATGGTGGTGGTGATGATGGTGATGCTGATGGTGGTGATGGTGATGATGGGGATGATGATGATGGTGATGGTAATGATGATGATAGTGATGCTGATGGTGGTAATGATGGTAATGGTGACGATGGTGATAGTGATGACAGTGATGATGATGATGATGGTGATGGTAATGATGATGATAGTGATGCTGATGGTGGTAATGATGGTAATGGTGACGATGGTGATAGTGATGACAGTGATGATGATGATGATGGTGATGGTGATGATGGTGACTTTGTAAACACTAAAAGACTGTGTTCTTGTGGGATCTTATAATCCCAGGCCTAAGGGATGATTCTTAGTCAGGATGCTTTTGTTGCAAATGAAAATCCAATTCAAATAGCTTTCTCTTGGCCCATAGAAGTGAGAAGTGCAGAGCTATGGTGGGTGTCTGGTGCGATTTGATCCAGCTGGCTCCCCTGGGCCCAGCCACACTGGCCCAGTGTGCTCCAGCCTTCTCCCTTTGGGATAGCCTAATAGCTGCTGACAGCTCCCAAGGCAAGAAGCTCACTATTTATACACAGGGATGACAGCATCCTCTTCTCACATCATTGAAAGAAATGTGTCTGTGATATCGTCCAGCTGGAAGGATCTAGGTTATGTGTTCACCATTGAGCTAGTCAAGGGGAATGACTTGCATTGATGGGTCTAGGTCCATGGTGGGCAACAGGTTGGGATTCTGTTAATTGTCCTGGGTCCATCTGGTCCTGCCCTTAGAGCAGGGGATGGATTGAGCCCTACGGAGCCCCTGGCTGGGAGCTTCAGGTGGAAGCAGGAATGAGCATCCTCCACCTGGAACCCACTCTCTCTTGGTTGGGGCTCCACCTGCCCCAACTGTGCGAGGGAGGACAGAGGAGCATTTTCCAGGGTGGAGGCAGGCGAGAATGTTCTTCTCTGTGGTTTCCTTAGAAGGACTTGGAACAAGAAAGGTCTTTGGCAGAAGCTGATTTTTTTTAACTTTCACTTTTTAAAATTACATAAATAACACTTGTTCATCATAGAAAATCAGAAACTATGCTTAAGCAAGAGGAAAAGGGGAAGAGAATGCCGGTGAACCCCACAGCCCACTAACTGGTCAGTATTCTGGCTGAGTCCAGATGAATCCACACCTTCCCCTTGATTTGAGTTTCTAGGTGTCAAGCTGGTCCTGAAGACTGTTTGGCCGGCTGCCTCTTCCTGTGGTTGCCCCACGCTCTCGGCAAGCCCTCTCTGAACCGCCTGCTCTTCTCCCACAGGCAGCCCTGGTTTTATGGCTGGGGCTTTAACCTCCCACGAGGCCAAGCGCTGCTCGAGAAGTGGAACCTCATTCCCGAAGGCGTGGACATCCTGATAACCCACGGGCCACCACTGGGTAAGAGTGGGCTGTCCCTGCCTCCGCTGGCCTGGCCCCCAGCGTGCCTGCTTGTGCTGTGGGAGGATGCAGTGGGTGTGGGTTTTGGGGGGCGGGGGGCCGCTGGCCCTGTGCACTGAGGTCAGCCTGGCCTGTCGAGAGGAGCCCGGGATGGGCTCTGTTCTGAGTCCAACTTGCTGGAGCATCGAGATGAGTCGCCCCATTGTCCCCCCTATTTCCTGCACACCCACTGTGTGCTGGGGGCTTGACTTCTTACCTTGTGGACTCCTCAGAGCCCCGCAGGGAGGTTAAAATGAGCTGCCTGTTTTACGTACACGGCGCACTGGAGCTCAGGGAGGGCAAAGGCTGGCCTGGCCCTTGACTCTCCAGACCTGAGTCCTGGGTGCTGAATACCACCAAGGTCACTGTCACCAGGCTCCATCCCATGCACCCCTCACCCCATCAACACCTGGGGGGCCTTACCCCCACCCCTCCCAACAGTCCCCAGGGCCTGTGGATTCCACCCCCAGCAGCTCTCCTCCTGTCCCCACTGCCACCACCCTGGTCCAGGCTGATGTCACCACTCGCCTGGTCTCCCCTGTTAGCCTGCTAACCACCCCCTGTGCCCCCACTGGCTGGCCCATCTGGGGTCTTGCTCAGTCCTCCCCTCCCCCTTTCCTCACACCCCACTTCCCATCTATCAGCATGTCCTTTGATTCTATCTTCAAACTGTGTCTCCGCTCCTCCTCTCCTCTCCACAGTGCTGTCCCCATCTCAGTCCAGGCCACCATCTTCTGTCTCTCTGATGACTATTGTGGCCTCCTCACTGGTTCCCCAACTCTGAATCTTGCACCTTCCAGTCCATTGCCCTCACATCAGTAGGAGGGAGTCCTTTGAATCATCAGTTATGCCATGCCATCCCTCTATAGCCCTTCGTGGCTCCCTCAGTCCTTAGATTGAAGTTCAGACCCCAGCAATCTGGCTCAGACCAGCCTCTTCCTCCCACCATGGCTCTGTTGACCCTGCCGTCAGTCCCTCAGTGCTTGGGGCCCGGATGGGCCGGGCGATGCAGGAGCAGGGGCTAACCCGACACAGTACTTGCCTCGAGGGCTCCCTGGCTGCCAGGTTGAGAGCACAGAACTGCCAAGCCCAGGGCAACACGTTCAGGGAGGAGGGAAGCAGAGAGTGGAGGCAGAGAGAGAGGCTGTGAGAGGAGGCGTGGGGAGGCTTACAGAAGAGGTGACCTCAGAATCGGGTCTGGGGGAGGCAGGGGAGGGAGGGCGGGAGGGCGTCCCGGGTGGGAGGGGCTGTCGGGTGAGGTCCAGCACTGCTCAAGGGTCATCAGCTCACACACCTGTTCCGGGAGACACTGCCCTGAGCCCCTACTGTGCGTGCCCTCGGCACCTCTCTCCCCCGTCACAGGGTAGGAAGGCTTTCCTGCCCCCATCACTGACAGAGGGTGCCCCGAGTCCCAGGGCCCTGACATGGTTTAGAGGTGACACACAGCAGGATTGTAACCAGGTCTGTTATCTCACCTGAAGCCTCCTGCCCCCTGGGATGAGTTCCCTTCCACATTCAAGTCCTCGGTCACTTAGAGGGAGGCTCTAGGGCAGGGTTTTGTTTCCTCCCTCCCTGCGTCCCTCCTTCCCTCCCTGCTTCCTTCCCTCTTCCCACCCCTCCATCCGTTCCTCCAAACAGCATCTTTGGGGTTCCTGTCCTCTGGATGCCACACCATGCCCATGTCACATACAACATACATCTCCTGTTTCAGGGATGCCGGTGTGTTCAGCCCAGCCGGGCCCAATTGTTAGATGAGGCACAGAGAAGTTAAGTGACTTATCCAAGGTCACATAGCCAGTAGGTAGCAGAGCCGGGACTTAAACCCAGGCGTCTGTCCCAAGCCTTCTCTGTGCCCACTTCCTGCCTCTCTTCCTCCTCTCTGCCTCACCTCCTCCTCCACCTCCTCTACCTCCACCTCCTCCTCCTCCACCTCCTCCACCTCCTC